GCTGAACAACAAGCAGAAAAACGTTCTCTTGGCTTATTTTCAGTTCGAAGCGGTCTCTATCGTATTGTTGATATGACTGGTGATACTAATAAAGAACGAGCAAAAGGTTTACTAAATGTTCTTCAACGTAATGGTCGTATGGAAAGTGTTGTTGAATTTGTTGCAAGTGGTTCTCGTTTTCGTATACATATATTAAAAGATAACTGGATAATATCATTTTTATTATCATCAATTAATTGTCCACGTGCTGAACGACGCATTCCTGTTAGTAGTAATCCACAACAACAAAAAATTGAATCCGGTGAACCATTTGGTGCTGAAGCATTAACTTTTTCCAAAGAACATTTCTTGCAACGGTAAAGCAAAAGTTTTAAGGGAGAGGTCATAGTAACCGTTATATGATGAATGCTACAAGCTTCTAGATTAAATATCAATGATGTGTAGTGAAAATTCATTTTACACATTTAATTAAAAGAATATAATCTGAAGATTAATATTGGATTAGATCAAGAAATTTATTTTTAAAAGTAGATAAGACGGAAATAAATTTTCTCGCACAATCCAAAGTTATACACCAGTGCTGCCACCTTTTGAAGTCTAAAAAGCAGAAAATCATTTATAAAAAGCAGAAAATGGCAGAAANCGATATGTTGTATGTTAGCCCAATTAATTGTGAGATTATATCGCCATAAATCGTAAAAAGTGCCGATTTTTGCTAATTTTCACAGAAAAATCGCCATTTATGCTAAACTTCGACGATATAATTATCAAATGCTAGCGATTAATCGGCAATTTTTATATAATTGCGGAGAACCGTCAAAAGTGAGGCGATTTTGAGGACATGGATTAGTAACTATTGATAAGGACTTTTTTATAATCATAAAAAATGATCTGTGAGATGAAAAATGTTGGTTAAAAATATAAATTTCGCAGTATTAAAAAAAGCAGAAAATTTTTCAAAAAGCAGAAGAGGTGGCAGGCCTGTTATACACATAATTTCTATATTATTTTTTATATTAAAATCAATTATCTGCTATCATATCTCAGCACATCGAATTAAATTACTATGAAAATTCTTTTCATAGTTGTTTCATTTCATTGATCTCTGAACATATGTTTTTCAATTGATTAAGTAGTAAGAAAAGCAAATCTTTTGACTTGTTTTTAGGGATGTTTTTGTTGAAGTTGAAAGTATAGATCGTGGTGGTAATTTTATTGGTCGTTTAACAACTGCTGATGGACAATCAGCTGCATTAATGCTTGTTCAAGCTGGTCTTGCTAAAGTACATGATTCCGCATATAATGCACAAAATTATAAACAATTATTAGAAGCTGAAGAAAAATGTCGAAAAGAACGTATTGGTGTTTGGACTAATTATGAAGAAATATCAACAAAAGAGAATGAAGAAGAAAATGAAGAAGAAAATAATCCTGAAGGTAAACTTTAAATTTTATTTTAATAAACAAAATGTTTTTTTTTTGTTTTGTATATAAGATGAAAATGTCTACGAATCAGATATAATTAATTTTGCTGATTCACGTTTTCGTCATGCTGTTGTTTCTTATGTAACATCTGACTTGAAAGTTTATCTACAATATTCCGAACAAGGACAAAAACTTGAACAATTACAATCTGAATTACGTGAAATATTTAATCGAACAAAACCTACCGGTGGATATATACCAAAAAAAGGTGAATTATTAGCTGCATGTTCTACAGCTGATAATGAATGGTATCGTGCACGTGTTGAAAAAATTGAAGGAAATAATCGTATATCGGTTTATTATATTGATTATGGTAATCGAGAAGTAATTACAGATTTAAATCGACTTGCAAAATTACCACCTGGTAATGTATTATTTAAATTGTTTTTATAAATAAAATATTGATGAGATTTATAGAATAGAAAGTTTATAGATGAAATAAAAAAATCGCTTTCAAGAGATAAGTGTCATGTCATTAGATAAGCCTCATTTTTGGTGAATGTTGTTTAACAAGTACCATGATATAGCTTTGGTAATGTTTAAGATCGCCTCTCCCATCCCATTCTTGGATTTCTTAATTCTAAATTCCAGGATACTGCCTTCTATGAGATATAATGGCTGCAACGGTCAAAAATGATCTAAAGTACTTTTTCTTTGAACAATATGGTTTCCTTCACTTAGGAAATCCAAGCTATTAGAAGTCCTGTCGAAAAATGTATTTGTTTTTTTTCTTACATAGAGTAAACTTTGTAAGATCTGCCAAGAATAATTAGAACATTATTTTAAGATAAAGAAAAATATATATGTTCCGATTGGATTCTACAATCGATCGAAATATCTGGAAGAAAAAAACGAAAAGCTTCAATTTTTCTGTACTAAAATTGATATTGAAAAAAACGTGAAATAATGTACAGTTTTCTCTAATTCGGTTTTTTTTTACGTTTACAGACAATTTTTCGATCTCAAAAATGTACTCAATTGACAGATACTACTTCAGACTATAATGTGAGCACAAAAAAAAAACAAAAATTTTGATTCACGAAAATAGCGGTGTGTCTTTAAATTCGATTCACGAGAAGCTTGAATCTGAAAAAAAACGATTCTGATGGTGATCTGAGTCTAATCACAGTACGGTGTTACAAAATTCATTAAATTCGTCATTACTCCAGACTTACCCGTTAACACGAATCCTTATTGAGTTTCTCTAGTCTCAATAGAAGCTACCTAATGAAGTAAGACTTATCTAAAAAGCAATTTATGATTTTGTCAGATTCTTTCACTTGCCAAAATGAATATTAACTTTTAATGACCATGAATATACAAGCAACAATTACATATGACTTCGATAAATATCACCATCAAAACTATGAAAAAGAAAATGAATCCAACTTTCGTATGATACACATCTCTACTCATCCACAATTGAATTCTTTGAGCATTTGAATATGTTGAGAAATTAATACTAATTTTTTCAGAAGTCTCCAATAGTAAGAAAGTCTATTTATGGATGAAAGTCGTATTCTAATGCGGAGGAAGAATATAGAAAAAACTAATGTACCGAATTTTTTTAATCCTTAAATCAAAATATGTTGTACATTAAATGTTTTTAAATTTCTCACATATATTTTAATATTCAAATAAATAACGGAAAAAAAAGAGCAGACAAAAAACTAAAATGTTAGAACACAATGAATTTCAGTCGCGTTCAATTTTCTTGACTCAGCTGACAAGTTAAGAGATAATAAATCTGAACTAATTATTGCCATGTAAGGAAACTCTCAACTGTTAAAGGTCGTTTTCCACATTTTGATGGCTTTCGAACGAAATTGAACTTTTTGAAAAATCTATTTCAAGTGTGCACTCATCACATTTTCATGATCCCGACAAAGTTTTTCTCATTTCGAAATAATTGACTACCTGTGGAAAACAAGTGATTGATTTGAGTCGTGACTAAAACACCGAAAAGAAAACTTTGTCACGGCAACTAAATGAATGAAAAACAATAAGTCGGCCAATGCACTCGTTGCAATCAGCAACCTTTCACTCAACGAGATACGAGACAAGAAAAAGTTTGTCTCATAGGACTCTATTGGATCATTTCAATGTGTACTAAGCAACTACGATTTCATCTATGCAAGAACTTTGATATTTTCATATACCATTGATTAACTCATTATTTAGTTGATTTCATCAAAATTTACGCACTGCAATATTTTTTAGGTTTTTCACAATTATCTGGTCAAGCTCATGAATGTGAGTTAGCTTATGTTCGAACACCACCTGATGACGATGATCGCCAAGAAGCTAAAAATGCTTTATTAGATGAAATAGGTAATGAAGAATGTTTAAGAAAAGTTGAATATCGTCAAAATAATATCGACCGTATATCACTTTATCATATTAATTCAAAAGAAAATATAGTAAAAAAATTAGCTGAACAAGGTCTTATTATTATTGATCAAGGACGTGGTGTTCGTCAAAAACGTTCCACATTATTATATGATCAATTACAACAAGCGCAAGCCATTGCTAAAACAGCACGTCGTGGTCTTTGGCAATATTCTGATCAAATTGAAGATGATGCAACTGAATTCGGTTTTACCGGACGTAAATAAATAAATGATTTTAATTTTTTTAGCTTTAATTTTTTTTTTTGTTTTGAAATTTTCTATTTATCAAATCTAGACACATTTATGCTTATATGTTTAATGGTACTTAAAATACTATTAAGTACATCTATGCTGAGAAGTTTATAAATTGTGCTTTTTTTTAAAAGTGTTGTGCGCATAGTACATAAAAAGAACAGTTGTCCTTCTTTTTTTAGAAAATAATTTGTTGAAAATTCTTATTCATTGATTTTATAGTTCTTTTTTTTTTTTTTTTGTTGATAAGGTCGATGGTCGAAAGAAAAAAAGAAGAGACATCATTTATTAGCCTTGGAATGAAACAAGAAAAAATATGCTTTGTTTTCATACCATTAGATACAAGGTTAAAATATTTTTTTCTTTTCACTTATAATTAACTTAGATGAAGAAAAAACATTCAAGTTTTAATTAATATAAAAGAGAATTAATCATTTTTTTCGCTTTTTTTTTGCCGATTAAAAATAAGTAATAATGATATTTTAGATATCGTTATGTATGTCTGTTGTACATTGTTATTTTCATATCTTGATTTAACTCAGAGTAATATTTCGTTATCGATACTCGCCTATTTTTCTTATCATGTTCATTCAATCAACAGGTCATCATCTTTTCATTCATTATTCATATTATCTAGATGTATATATGTATTGACGCATGTAGGCATGCATGAAATGCCCGCATACTATTCTGATCGAAATGCTATAAAACAAGAGCAACAAGCGAGCGAGCAAGCGGAAAAAAAGCGAGAGAGAGAAAGAACAAAAATAGAAAGTGGGACTCAAATCGTACATACATACGCACACATACAACATTTGCATCTTCACTTGTTCGTCTCGCTTTCCATCGACAAACATTTACTCATACAGAAAAATGTCCTATGCAAAACAGTGGCAGGTAACAGGAGCAACAGCAACAGCAACAAATTTCAGTCAAATATTAGCATCAGAAGCACGTCTTAGTCGTCTTCATCGTTTATTTAAAACACATTTTAATGTTACTGAACCATCACTTGTACTTGAACCTTATCTATTTCTTGGCAATTGCATTTCAGCACACGATACGCATCGCCTATCAAATTTAGGTATTCGTTATATTCTTAATGTAGCTATACGTGATGTTGAATTATGTCCATATTATTCAAATGATATACGTACACTTACAATTGATCTTCGTGATGATGATAGAGAAAATATTATACGAACTTTTGATCATGCATTCGCATTTATTGATGAAGCACGACGAAATAAATCTCGCGTACTTGTTCATTGTAGTCATGGACAAAGGTTAGTAAAAAGAAATGAATCATTAAATTAAAATCTAATCGATCTGTATAATATTCTTTTCATAGTCGATCACCAGCTATTGTTATTGCTTATCTCATGCGTACATACAACGTTCCACTTGAACAATGTCTTAACCATGTTATTAAAGCTCGTCCATGTGTTTTACCTAATGATGGTTTTTTAAAACAATTAATTCTTTATGATCGTTTTCTTGTTGATAGACGTCGACAACGACAAGAAGCAGCTATAATGAAAGTTGTCAATACTGTATCACCAACTGAAATTCCAATTCAACATAAACCATCTGTTACACCAAAACCTACACAACCAAAACTTCCTATAATATTACCTCCAGCAGAAGATTCTGCTAATGAGACTTCTAATAATACGCAGTTATCATCTGTTGATTCATCAAGTTTAGGACAAACATCAACATCAAGTATTCAAACATCAGCATCAAGTGTTCAATCATCAACAAGTGCTGAGTCAGTACATATCATTCCAATTCAAGTTCAATCAAAAGTATCTCATCCGGAAAAGGTACCTTTAATACGTTCTTTTTTTTTTCTTCTATTCTACTTTTTCAACTTTAATTATCATTTATATTCAGGTTAAACCAGTTCTAATTGAAACACCACCGGCTCGAGATGAACCTACTGAACAAGAAATAAAAGATGATGTTAAAAATTTTTTTAAAAAAGTTGCTGTCACAAATTTAGCAATGGCATCTGGCAAAACAGGTCGTGACATAATGGTAATTAATCATGCAGTACCATATAAAAAACGACCAGGTGCTTTCATTACAAATATTGTTAAGCAAACTAATTCGTCATCATCACGATCTCGTTCAGCTCATTCAGATCGTATACAAATGAATCATCAAAATTATTCTTCACCATCAAATACAGCTGAACAATGGGAAATCATTCCTTATTATTATAAAAATAATCGTAAATTACAAGAACAAAAACAAACAAAATACATTACAGAAATTTATGATAAAGCAACAAAGCGTTTTATTCCAATAACATGTTGAAATGAACTTCTTCCTTTTTTTAATATTTATATGTATATGAATATTTATTAATACAGATAGAGGACATTAGGTATATTATCATAAGAGAAAAGAACAGTTTATCTCTATTATTCATATGAATATACTTTACCAAGGTTTAACATTGATTGTCTGTCCTTCAGTAACCGATGGTTCTTTTCAACTACAAGTCAGCAATGATCATATGTGTTTATGAAAGAATATTTAAAATGATTGAGTCCTTGTTTTTAGAAAATGAAAAAAAAGAATAAGTTTATTTGAAAAAATAATGAGATATTAACTTTTTTCTTCAAACATCATGAAACCGTATCAAATAAAACAATCAAAGCTTGAAATCATATTGATAAAAATAAAATACAAGAATCAATTAACAAAGACATAATGTATCTAAATAATGAACATCTGCAGTATGATATTATTATACCTTAAGGGGAAAGAGTGTCTCCTTCGCCCGTCTCCTCTCCCTAAAACATATCCTCAAAAGCTGTTAGTTTGTAGAAAAGACCTTCAATGGTATGTCTATGTAATAAAAAAAAAAAACAATTTGTGAGCTATGGAATGAATTATTAATCAATTAAGTTCAAAGTTAATCGAACATTTTAGATTGAGAGACATTTCTTAAAAAATTTCTAGTATTTCATATGAATGTTGAGTTTAGTTGATTCTGCTGTAGTTTTCTAGGCAACTATTTTTAGATCTAATGTGTTGCTAAAAAAAATTTGACACGTGATTTTTCTCTGTACTGTTTAAGTATTAATCAATCATAATTAACACTAATTAGTGACACTCTAATTTAAAGTGTAAATTTTGTTGATGTTAAAATAAATCAAAAACAATCGTACAATATATCATTTTAGTATTATGAGCAATATCGTACAAAATGTGTTTGTATTTTGCAGTTTTAACCATTATGTTTCTATTTGTAATCAAATATGGTTATGATTAATATTCAAAATCAGCATTAAATACTGAGTCGGATAATATATTTATTATGCAAAACAGATGTTTTTCTTCCAAAACTGCATGATGACTCCGAATATCGTATCGATTTTGATCGTAAATAGAAATACAATGGTTAAAACTATAAAATACGAGTCTATTTTGTTACATATTGCTCATAATATTAAATTCTTTTTGTTTTTGAAAATAGAAGTTTTCGAAAGAAATGAGTTGAACTATCAATAGAGCATTTCAACCTCTATTAAATAATATATTTCAAGATTGTTTTTCATTTATTCTACCGAAACGAAAATTTACGTTTTACATTTGAGTATTACTAATTAATAATTAAACGGCACACAGTATAGTTATCTGTCATATTTTTTTTCAAATATAATTAGGTCTAAAAATAGTTGTCAACAAAACCACACCAGAATCAAGTAACGCTAACATTCATATGAAATATGAAAAATATTTTTACAAAATGTTTCTCAATTCAAAATTTTGAACTTAATTAATTAATAACTCAGTCAATAATTCATCATTTTTTCTTTATTGCATAAGCATAACATTGAAAATATTCTCTATAAACTGACAAAGTTTGAGGTTATGTTTAGGGGTGAAGAAACATCCTATTTTACATGACAACACTTCAAGTTAATTAAAATAATGAATACTACACTATAATTAATCATAACTATGACATTCAATTCATAATTATAGATTGCTACATACTACCTATGTAAACAAAAACGACAAAAAATCTGATTTTAATCGATTTTAATTGCGTTGATTATAAAACACGTTTTTTCTCTAGTTTTAAATTAGAAACTTCAATTTTTAACTATTTTTTTCTGACTACTTGCATCAATAGATGGAAAGTGTAGTACTAGTTCTATCTTTGATACACTTCCACATACGTCACTAATTCGTACTTACTCATATAAGCTGAAACGCGGATCAATCAGATTTCTTTTGTCGTTTTTTCTTTACATGGGGAGATCTGATAGGCAAAACTGAATTTTGAAATTTTAGATTGGCCTAATTCGTTCATAAAATAATGGAGTAGGCTGAAGGGTCAAATATTATCTAAGCAATAGCTGCTCCCTTGTAATATAGAAATAATAAAAAAGTCTTTTATACAATCTCTCTAATAAATATTTGCACAAACGTATTGAAATTTTGGAATCGAGTAAGTCATCAAGAGATGTTAATCATAATTGTTAAAAATGCGAATTCAATGATTAGTAAATTTCTCTGATGAGTAACAACTACTCATTCAAAAAGAGTATTACTCATTACTACCATTCATTGACAATAACTTGACAAATAAAAATTTGAATTTTTTAAAAACAACTACAACCAGTGTTTCCAATGGAAATTGAAAGCAAAATGTATCAAAGTGTACGAAAGCCAAATTTTCACAATCTGAAAAACAAAATATAATGTTCGTCATTTTTTTCTTTCATAAGATAAATATTTTGATCACTAGCGAACAAATAAACGTTATCTTTAATTAATTTAAAACTATATGCGGCTTTTAAGGTTCAAAAATCAAAGAAATCAAAGTGTAAACTATTTTAGCAAAGTGTACATTGTACACTCTGTTTTTCTGGGCAAGTGTACAACAGAGTGTAAATCAAAAGTAGCAGATGTTCCGTACATTTTGTTTCTGCTTGGTACACTTGTCATTGGAAACACTGACTACAACTACGATCTGAACAAGAACAATATGAACGTCTATGGAGAGGTTTTCTGAGAAAGATCTAGTCTTTTCACCAAGTATATTATATGAAAAACTTCAAAGCTATACTGATACAATTTCTTTTTCGACTTAAACTTATCCTCAGTACACAAATAGTACGTAGAACAATGTGTGTACGAGCACACCACTGCAGAAAATATTGTTTAGAAATAGCTGTCCACTCGATAGAATCTTGAATCCATCATTGACTCCAAATTGTTCATTCCTATGCGATGTACTATTCATTTTTCTTATATTAAAATTGAAACATAAGATGTCGTGACATGTTGATGATTATATATAACAATTTTTGTGATTAATTAATTATCGGTGAATAGTCTGTTAGAATAAAAGAGCGAATGATTTAATGAAGGAATCGGAGAAATATACAGAACATATTAACCATGATTGACTTGTTTTGTTTTGTTTGATCTACTAATTGATGTCGATGATTCATTGTATCATTTCTACAAAGAAATCCACTAATGCACTTATTCACATCGTCTTACAATTGAAATCAATTAAAAAGATGTTTGTAAAATAACACTAGACATAGCTTATAATGTTGTTACACTATATTTTCAGATCATTGGCGGGCCGGACCATAATTTTCAGGGGGCAATAAGCACTTTTTCGCTTAAAAATGCTTGTTTTCATGGCGTTCTTCTTAAGTCTCAGTCAAAAAATTTCTTTTAGGGGGGGGGGGGGTGGGGGGCAGTCTCCCACGCCTTTGGTCGTCACGACCCGGCAAATTTGTGAAACTAAAACT